AAAATGACTGCTATAGTTGAACCCAGGACACATGTTTAGAAAGAGGAGTATGTTGATGAAAGGTTGCAGGGGAAGAGAATCAAAAAAGCAAATTTTGAAGACCATTACTGATTTTCATCAGTTACCTTCCACATTTTCGTAACTTTGGTCAAGACCGCAATTAAAAGCTAGGCTGTTGGAAACAAAACTGTCCTGGTTTTCAGTAGCAAAAATCAGTATTGTTCTATTTGTGTGACTTTTTCCACATGTAAGATCTTAAAAACCTAATGTCAGTTGAACCATATTCTAGCTGAATTTTTTACATAGAGTAATTATATATTTTCTATCTTTTCAGACTATATGTGCTTTGATTTGTGGTCGACCAATTATAAAACCAGAGTTTTTTGTTGAATTGATCAAAGCTATTCAGTCCAGACAGCAGTTGCCAAATCATAAAAGGTAAGTATCATGTTTTCAGTGCCACAGGATTAAGTTTATGTGATGCAGATTATCAAGTAACTACACATTTTTCTGATTATATTTGACAGAATATGTGAGTCACAGTGACTTGACTTGTGGAAGAATGCTGAATATGATCACATTTTAATATTCAGGCAACTTTCTTGCTCTTATCCCTAGAGGATATAAACAAGCTCTTGGAGTTGACTATATACTTAGAGATGTTACTAGCTGTAAATAGGAACTTGTTTTAGTGATATGTGTGAAGCAACATTTAAACTCGTGGGTGTTTAAATAACACAGGGTGTATCTTGGTGATACAGTAACATAAAGAAAATTATATTTTTATAAAAGAAATTATGTCAAGCTTTTTTTGTTATGTAGACATAATTTCCCAGTACAAAGTTACCCAGTTTACTGGAAACTTTGGTTAAGACAGAGTTAGCCTGGCATTTGACTTCCCTGGAATAGCAGGGGGGTTTAATTATCTGTTAAGAGGTGAAGTAAGACTAATATGCATTGGTCTTTACTATATGAGAATAAAATGCTCATTGTTTTCATGGTTAAATTAACTTGGAAATGGAATTCTGTCTTTGGAGCAAGTGTTGCAGAATACTCCCTTTTGGTTATTTTCTCTGTGTAGAAAAGCATAAAATAATCCTCTTGTGTTTGAGAATTTCAGCTGAGCCTGTGTAGCTAGTATTTTTACCTTGAAAAGGGAGGCATTTGATAATAACATGTTGAACTTTTAATGTCAGTTAACAGGGAGAAAATTCTGTGAAATTCATTTAAATGTTTTCAAGATATTATGACTTTTCTAGTTGTATTGTTTTAACCAGGTGGATGCTGGACTCCAGACATTTGAGTTGGGGGAAATAAGTGGTGAAGAAGAGAATCACTGTTGATTTTACATATGTATGGCTATACATGCATAAATACATGTTAGGGCATAGCAGTTTATTTTCTTTAGCGGGTTTGATGATAGCCATTGGTAGAATAGTTTGAAGAAGAAGGGTGAGATGGAAAAGGGTTCCCTAAAATAGAACCAGATGGATATGTTTCCCTTTCTTAAATATTTTTGATAACTGTTAAGACCTTTAGAGGAATTGAGTTGACTAAATGTTAGTGACACTAGCAGTATATCCATCATGTAGCTTTCCAAGAGAGACTTCTGAGTCAAGCTAAATGAGGCAGCTGGTATAATATACTGATCTATATTTAAAATAATTGCAGTATTTTAAACAGGTGATACTTTTAAGATGTAGCTGGTGGGAAGATACTGAAAATTGTTTTAGCAGCTGTTCGCATTCTATTTTCAAAAATACTTTTAACTTTTCACAGGGAACTCTACATTTTGCATTGTAGCTAGAGCTGACCTGAGCTGGTACACCCACAAAACACTAAAAAAATTGGGGCAATAATAGTCTGGATATGAAATAAGAAAGGTATATTGATGTGGTAATGCAGGGTGACACTGTTAATTAAATCTTGATTACTATTGTAGATTTGATCTCTAAAAAATCTGAGGGCAGTATAATCTTACAGTTCAAAAATAATTAGACTTCAGAGAATTGCAAACCTGCAGTTTGCATATCAGTGTGGGCCTTTTTACTTGAGGCTTTTTATGGTGAAGTGTATTACCCCAGTCCTCTGGTACTCTCTGATAACTTACGCAAGGAAGAGCAATAACTGAAGATCTTGCTAATGGTTGCGTAAGTGCAGCCCTACGTGAAATGGTGTATATTATTACAGCAGATCAGTGTAAATACTGCAGGGCTTTGAAAAAGTAGGAAAGTAACTAAGCCTTTAACTCACCAAGAATCAAAATCTGTTTATTGAAAGATTTAAGACTGTAGAAGATCTTTTCTGAGTAACAGTGTTACTATTCAAAGCTTATGGGGAGAGAGTACAAGGACCGCTTCAGAATCCTAAAATGGAAAAAGATTATGTTGCCTTTGAGCTTCAGTCAGCATTAGATACGAGTTTCAAAGGAAAATCAAACATTTCTTCGAGGAGGAGATGATCAGTTGAAGTTTCCTTCTGAAATTAAAATAGGTTTGAAATATATTTATAGAGAAACTACAGTTAAGTTCTGAAGTACTGGAAACTGCTGTTTCTCCCTTTTTTTACTCATCCTTTGGTCTTTAAAGATTACCTTGTTCCCTGTATTTATCTTAAGTTAGTAACTGTCTCTGTGGGATTTGGAAGTCTGGCCTAATAACTAAAATCCGAGTTGTCCTATTTCTTAAAATTAGTGGATTTTATCAGGTCTATTTCACCGCAGCAATATTTTTGTAAATAGACTTGAACAGATTGCTGAAACTTATCAAATACTCATTTTTCAAAACTTGATGGTTTCCGGGTGGCTTATTTCCATTATATACAGAAAGCTTCAGGAACTGGTTGTGAAAAAGACAAGAGAACAAGGATTACTTAAAATTAACTGTAATTACTTAGTACATTTTAGATTATCATAATTGAATTATGTATTTGAATGCATTAGTAAATTTACATATTTATTCTTGTGTTCAGCTATAGGGTGAATATTCAGTGTCTGAAGAATGTTTATATGTTTACGGATGGTGCATTTTTTCAGAAACTTAAACACTTCAGCATTTTATGGAGTATGTTTCTTCCTTAAAGTCTGCTGATCTTTGCATAAATTAGGAAAAAAAAGATATATGTATATATGTAAACATGTATAAATGTGATTTAGTGTGCTGTTAGACCAGATTTTGGGAGTGTGTTTTAGCATTTTTTTTTTTGCCCTGCATAGTATTATGAAAAGGATGTATAATCAGCAGTCACAATAAAGATAAGTAGTTCTGTGGTCAGCCAGAATACACATATAAACTGCTGATTGGGTACAGACATAGCGTAGTATGATTAAAATCAACCTATAGTTTCACTTCTTTCTAGCATGTGCTTGCTCTGTCAGAAGTGCTGTAGTAGGGAATATGTGACTCAAATACCCTGTAAATACTGTCCTGAAATTATCAGTTAGATGCTTGTCTTAACTCTAGAGACTTTATGATGTGGGGATGCCATCATTAACTGGAGCTGAGATCACAGGCTGTGACAAAAATGAGAGTTTCAGGGTAGAATTTCACTTCTGCCTAATCAGTTCCCCATCAGAAATCCTGGTCACTTTTGTTTTTATTAGACAAAACAATTGAAAATCTTCAGGGTGAATCAGTTCAGTTCTCTATCCCACCAGCTAGAAAAGTGTACTTTTCTGTCGTATTAGTAGGCTGTCATCTAGTGTGGTGGTACACAATTTCTTGATTCAATAACAGGAGCGTGGCTGTCCCCACTTGAAGAGTAGAGGAAAAAGGATGACTAATTTTGTGGGGAGTTTTAATGTTAGCTGAGAGTAAGTGCAGAATGAGATTGCAGTCTTATTTGTCAGTATTCTTAGTGGAGAAAGTGGGTATGTGTACAACAGATGCTTAAAGTGGATAGTTTGAATATATTCCTAAAAGTGTTTTCCTCTTAGTTACTGAAGTAGGAAGTCTTGGTCTTAGCTTAGATAATGAGAAATTGGAGGATCTGTTTCTTCTTAACATTTTCTTGAGGGAAAAAAAAAAACCCCGAAATATTTGTATAAATAGTTTTAACACAGCAAGTATTTTTACTTCAGAGCTTTAAACAAAAAGAACGAGTCAGTGCAGATAGGTAAAGCTGAATTTTGTAACTTTAATTTTCTGTTCTTGCAGCTTTTATCCTCCAGTTGACGAGCCTTCCATTGGCACTGAAAAACTGGATTTGTCTGAGCATCATGAAAGGAAAAAAATATTCAGTGGAAAAACTTTTGTATTTCTAACTGCCAAGCAGGTAATGGGGCTTTACACTGCAAAAAAATGTTGCAGGGGTAGCTAAGCATAGATTTGATTCTGTTCTCTGTGAATTTACATTCTTTCTGGGTTCATCAGGAACGAAGGATTTCTGTGTATTTATCTTCTTGCAATACAATGGCCTAAGCAAGATGAAAAACAGGGAGAAGCAGAACACGTCACATCTGCATTAGTGCATCAGTGATAAGCATTATACTGATAGTTCATTAAGCTGATACTTTTAAACTGACTGCATTTCAAGGTTTTATTTTTGTATTTGCATTCCTTTTTTTAGCACAAGAAACTGGGTCCAGCGGTTGTTCTTGGAGGTGGGGAAGCAAAGTTGATGACAGAAGGAAGAAAAGAAACATCTTTACTAGTTTCTCCTGATGTTTGTGTTGTTGATGTGATGTTGACAAACTCTCAGATCCCAGGATGTGACTCCATGAGAAACTGGACTGACTCTGTTCTGACTGTCTTGCAAAGGTGCAGCACTGTTCTCCTGTACTTGAGAATTTTTGCAGAGATTTAATCATTGTGTTTGCATACATAAAGTGGGCGTTTTTTTTCATTGCTTTACATATTTAGCATAGTAACTAAAATTTCTTGAAGTGGGAAAGAAAGGACTTGGCAGCTTTTTGAGGGTTTGATGAGGTTTTTGTTTTGGTGTTTGATTTTGTTGGGTTTTTTTTCCTTGTTTGGAGGATCCAATTCTGTAAAAAATTGATTGTAATGAAGCTGCTTTGAAATTGCAGACAGCAAGTGGTTTTATTCTACTATCTAAAAGAAGTTAAGAGTATATTTTAAGAATGGCAAATGGATCATCTGATTTTTTTATAAATATACATATTTATTTAATGGAAAACAGATGAGATGGCACCTTGAGGTCATGTGGTTTGTTGCTGTCTAATTATTTGTGTACAGTGTTTCTGAAGAGAAGCTTTTGTTTAATGAAAATCAGTTTTTGTTTTGGTGGTAAGTTTTGTTTGAGAGGGCAGGCCATTTTGTTAAAACAATGAAAAAAAACAAAATCCCTGTCCTTAACCTAATACATAAACCTAGTTCTTCTGAATTTTCTTGCTAATTAGAGAAAACTGTACTCAAGCTTTTCTCATGGCTGTAGTAAAGGAGAGGTGGGGGTGTGTGCCTGACTAACTTGTAAGAAATGCTCATATCTTTCCATTCACACACATTCTTGAATCAGAGGTAGAGTGCAGTTGGTTAGATGCACAGAAATCAGGTAGGGAGAGATATATTGGTCAGGTTATTGAAACTAGACAGTAACTACAGCAGCAGTAACGTGGAAGTTCATATATATAGGACATGGGCATAATGATGGATAATTATGCTGACTTACTGTATTGTGAAAAATTACAGTGTAGACTGCTGTTTTTTGACAGGAGGAGTGGAACGTCTTATACTTTGTCATATTTACGCCCATTTGCCTGTTCATTTTTGAATCTGTATTGAGAGACATTTTTTTTTTCCCTGTCTTTATTTTATTTGTATATTAACAGCAAGGATCTCAGGGCTATTCCCGAGGCAGAAATTGGATTGGCAGTTCTCTTCATGTCTACAGAAAAATTCTGCAACCCTCAAAAGCAGCTTGGTAACAAAGGTAATTGGAAGAAGGGTAGTAGTAAGTGAACAGCATTAAAGAGGTAGTATTTCTTTTTCTACAGGGGCATCAACTGCTAATGTTCAAGTTCTTTTGTTTTACAAGATCACTAAAATAGAATGACACTATGAAAGATGTATACAGATCTGAAGAGGTAATTGTTTTTTAATGGTCTTGCAATAAACTGCAATGACTATTATATGACTCATGTAAGTAAAAAAGTAGGAAATCTAAAATCAGCATAAAAAGCAGACACATTGATCTTTAAAGGAAAGATACTTTAAAACAGTCTTCTGAAGTTCATATTTTTAATGGCCACTGAATTAATATGTGTGTGGTAGTTTGGATTCCATGCTGTTGTCTTTCATGAAAATACTGGGGTAATAGGGAGATAAAAGATGAGTGTTAGAAATGGAGAGAACAGAATTAATTTGTAAATTAGGTTTTTTTTCCTTCTTCTTCCTCCCCTCCCCCCCGAATGCAATCTTGGCATAAGAAGTAAAAACAACGAGACGTGATTGCCACATTTGCTAAAGTAATAGTTTGAGGGTGGACATTCCAAGTCTTGACTTGAAACTTAACATATTTACTAATACAGTAGTAATAAAAATCTGTGAGACACAAAAAGAGTTTTTGTTTTTCTAATTCTCTTTTCATGCTTCTTCCAAAATTATTACTCTCTAGTTTGCTTCAGTTAAATTGTCAGAGTTGTGCAGAATTTTAGGTTCTGCTCTGTTCTACAAGTGTTGTAGTGGGTAGCAAATCCTACAATTTAAAAAAAAACCCATCCCATAAATTTGTCTGTACATATAGGAACATTAATCAAAAATATGTTTTGAATAGAGAAAGATATACATGCAGTAAGTGGCAGAGCTCTGAAAAATACTTGGGTTGATGGTATTCTTGTATAAATAACTTCAATATGATTGTCTATCCGTTTAGTTTAGAAAGCAATGCAAAATAAATTAATTCTCAGATTAAACTTAAAGATACTGAGCCTGCAGATACCTGAAATAATCAGAAATGCTGATTGTTGTTTCCAGTCTTAATGATTCACAGATAAAAGCTGTCTGAATGAATTGTTTAAAAAGTTTGAATATCAGGCATTTAAAGGTGGTGATGTTTACAGTTTATTTGCTAAGAGGAAACAAATACTATTATTTGGGAGTTACAACTTCCATGTATGTGTTTCAAATCAAAGGGATTGTAAACAAGGCTTCTTCCTCAGTTCTTGTCTCAGAACAAATAGCAACATATAGGAAGATGTAGTTGCTCAAGGAGGAGACCTCTGTGTATCTGTAGGTGATTTATTCCTCTATAGGTTACAGTGCTAGGAAAAAAATTAACGAATGTACAGAGAATGGGTTATCTGAAATCGTAATACGTCATTGTCTTGATCAGAATGAGAGGCAGGAAGAATGTAAAGGACTGAGAGATGAGTAATAATTAAAAATGTATGTAGGAGCACGATGAGACATGTTAAAATAGTAAATGTTAGTATCCTTTGACTTGGAGAAGACATTAGCATGTGAAGACAAGGACATACGAAAGGGAAGACAATATAAAAGATGCTATGTGTGCTCTTCTTTCTGTTATACAGAGAAATAATGAATAGAGAGCAGAAGATGATGTTTTAAGATAGTCCCCTGACTATAGGGATTATGAGAAGTTGGCTGTAGAAGACAGTTATCCTAAGTTTTTTTGATAGCAAATACTGATTCTACATTAGTAGAAATAATCCCCAATGTAATAATCACATGTTAAAGATCATCATAAAGCAGTAAATGTAAGGAGCTTTGTGCTCTGACAGTTGTGCATGTAATTGCATGACTTGTTATAATTATGTTATATCCATATTAATACGATTTCCCATTGTGCTTCATTTTTATTTAGAGAAATATCCATTACTTCGTTCAGTGAAATATTTAACTAAACCTGAATCCCATAATATGGTCCTTTAGACCTGTTTCTTTCAGTTGTGTTTTCTTTTTGATTGATAAATCTGCTTAATTACTTTATTAAAATTGCTTAAAGACCATTTTTCAAAAATCTCAGGAGATCAGTTACCGATGTGTGATAACACATGCAAAGAAACACGAGTTTGATACTAACCTTTTAATTCTTCTCTTGTGCTGTTCTTGCAGTTGTAACTGAAAGTACTTCTGCATCAGCTGTTGTAGGGCGAGCTGTTTCTCAGAGTTTGGTTGTGGATGAAACCATAATGGTAGCTGCCGCAGATAACAGCACAGCATATGTAGCTGATACAGAAATAGAAGAGCAGACGTGGTAAAGTATTCTTGGAACAGTTTCTAAGCTAATACTTGCAAATAAAGCAATCTTTTGTGACAGAGGGACTGTATCATTGCCAATGGACAAAGATAATATGGTGTCAGAAGTGGCACTTACTAAATAACTTTCATTTGTCTGCAATGAGATAATTTCTGCAGAAAACACAGGACTTACATGACTCAGATACAAATGTAGATACTGCTTATCTGATTTGACAGTCTTAACTATTAGAAATTTTCAAGCCATTTCACAATTATAAAAATATATTTATCATGATGGATTTAACAATTTGTTTTTAGCACACCTGCATTTTTTTGTAAGTATGTTCAAAGCACAGGTACAGCTTTTTTTTAAAATGATATTCTGCAGTGTATCTCTATGGTATCTTCTTATGTGTTCACTTAATACTTTTTTCTCTTTAATGTAGTATGGAGGTAGAGAATACTCCCCAGATGGATAGACGAGGGAAGATGGCTTTCCAGGATATAACCACCATAAAGAAAAACCCTAGCACCAGTGGCAGCTTAAATGCAGGAACATCAACATCTAGAGTGAACAGAACATGTGGGTTTAGTCAAAAAAGTCATCCTATCTCACCGTCTAAAAGTTCGGAAGCTGTTAAACCTAGTGAGTGTGCTTCACGTCGCCAGTCTAACCCCATTACGAGTTACTTCCAGGTAGCTAGAAAAAGGTATGTTGAAATGTTCTTGACATTATTTCCCTTACTGTTACATTGATGCTGTTCTGGAAAATAATTTTAACTCAAGGGATGTACATTTCATTCAAAATATACTTAAAAAGGTAATTTTTAGATCAGCTTTCTAGAACAGCAAGGTTTTCCTCAAGGGTACATATGTTCAAATCTCATAATGCAGTCACTAAAACCCCAGGAAGCTGTTATGTTGCAAATGCAGCTAGTTGTATTCAAAAATGTTTTTGTAATTTCTTTCTTTTGTAATTACTTTCTGGCTAAGGGAAAGAACTGAAGAAGGAGAAGAAACATCTGTAGCCAAACTAGGAAGACTGAAGGAAAGGTCATCGCCTGTTCCCAAGTGCACTGAACCCACAGCTTCATCAGTGCAGAACAGTGAAGCAGAGCAGCATCAGAAGGAAACTAACATCCTGGACCTAAGCCCAAATTTTGCATTAGAAGACACAAGTATAAAGCTTGCGAGGGAAAGTGGCAAACTAACAAGTGATAAAACTGACACTAAAACTACTTCTAGTGAAAAGCATGCATCAAGGAAGAGAAAGGAGTTAGATGATTTGTCTGAAGATACAGAGACACTAGAAATTGTGTTTGGAAGCAGAGACCTAGACTGTGAAGATCAAATGGCAGATCATGACCAGAAGGCTCAGAGAAAAAGAAAATGTTTGGAAGCCAAAGGAAGCAGGATTCAAGAATTTAATGTAAAACAGAGAGAGGAGAATAAAATACTGGTAAGTTATATTCTTCTCATGTGACTAATCTTGAAATTTACAACTGCTTTAGAAGGGTGCAGTTAGATCCTTTAAGGATGAGGCTGCTTGGCATACAGGAAGTGGCTTTGTAAAGTTGTTGCTTAAACCTCTCAAATCACTGTGAACTAAAAATTGACATGATGTATCTATTACATGTGAACACCACAGTGTAACACCTATCTAAATGTTTTTTCATTCTTCAGGACATTGTTTCTATGTGAATTGAAAGCTGTTTATATTCTGAAGGTTTTCCTTGTTTTACTTGAAGTACTGTGGGTAGAGCAGCAAAATATATCACTGGTCCAAGAAAAAGTTCTTCTATATTGTTGTTAATTATAACATTGACATTTATACAAAAATAATAATTATATTATCTTTATGTAATGGATTTTCCAAAGAAATCCTTAGTTGACCTGTTGAGTTACCAAAATAGTATCGAACATCTTTTGAGTCAGAATGTCTAGATGTCATGTAGATTATTCAAATTCCTGTATGAGTCGATTCAAATCACTAATATCCTCTTAAAAAAAACCAAAACACCAACAACAAAAGAAGAAAACAAAGCCAAAACACAGCTCGTAATTAGATTTCTTGATTATTTCTCTGGTTTTGAGAATAAGGCAATTTTCGAAGAGAAATGAAGAAAACAGTGGATTTTGAGTTGACAGTAGCCACTTCATTGAAAAAAAACGAAAGCAGGTTTGTAGAGGAAAACAATGGTGAGAGCTCTAGCAGAGTAGATGATTAACAATGCAGAAGAGAATAAGAGACAAGGACTAGGTTTAAATTTTGCTTATTTAAAAAATATGTATATATTACTGTACTATCAGCATAAAGCTGATATGACTTTTCCAACCACTGAAAAGAATTTATGAAGGGTAAATCTGGTTTTAAGCTATGGGAGGAAAGCAACCTGCAGAATGCTTTACTGTCCTAGTAATGAAATGTCCTGTCTGCACACATGTACACTTAACATGTGAAATTGAAAGTGCTACTTTGTATATTCAAAAGCTTTTACAATATTTTCCAAAGCCTGGCAGGACTTCGAAGATTGTAAACATGGACAAAACTTGCTACTCATATAAGAAAAAGATATGAGCAAAATAAAGAAAGAAAAAAACCAAATCCACAATTGTTACAGTGTACATAATAAAAATTTGAAGTGCAGTTTCTTTTCTGTAGAAATTTTTATAATCATTTGAAAATGCTTATTCTATTGTATAAAGCAGAAAACAATTTTATGTAATTAAATTTGTATTTTAATCAAATAGAAAGAAGAGGTACTTGGATCATCAGTTCTAACCCCAGAAATGAAATGTGAGTTCAAACAAGACTCACCGGTCTTGGTAAGAAAGCAGGTAATTTTAAGTTTGAACAGCAAACTTCGAGAAGTATTAAGAAAATGGATCAAAATTTTGCTTTTAAGAACATAGCATTTGTGGATCCTATTGCAAAGTAAAGGAGGTTCTGAGGATTGTACTCCTGAGAATAATCACATGTGAATTTGAATTGTACAGTCTATATTATTGACTGTGAAAAGACAGAGCAAAGTGTAGTTCATCTGCATGCTTATGTAATGACATATGTATGGATTCTTAAAATGACTGAAACTACAGAAACCTCATTTAGTTGTTTTAACCCTTCGATGTGGTTAATACTTGTACTCATGTTTTTGTTAGGTTACTGCTTAAAGACCAGACAAGAATGCAATCTTGTTTGCTCTACAGAGATGAAAAACTGAGAAAATTATGTAACAAACACTGATTAACAGTAAATAGTGTGCTAGCTTTCTTATAGGTGAGATGAATGAAGGAGAGAAATGCTGGGAATGGCAGTGGGGCAGCGGGAAGGGAGACTAAATGAAACTGAAATGGAAAGATTCTGAAGAGATGAAGTTGAGCGTAGCCAGTGAGCAAATGGCAGGATCAAACCTTTTCAAGTACATACAGAAATCAGCCCAAGAAGAGGGAATACTGTGCAGGTATACCAAAGTGCAGAGTCTGCTCACATTAAGGGACTTTTAATTTATACTTTGCTATAAAACAACTGTACTGCATCTGGGCTGGAACTATATATGGAGATGGCTTAACAGTGCTTGTGAACTTGTCCAGACTCCCTTTTTAATCCACATAGATCTAGCTCCAGGCAGCAAAGTGTGCATGCAAACTTGCTGGCGTATGAGATTTTCTCATGTACAAGAAAAAGTTGCTTCATTGATCAGATCCAGCTTACAGCCCTAAAGTTGGCTGTCCTGGGTTCAGCTGTAAGTTATTTTAATCCTTCTTAGTAGCTGGTGCAGGGCTGTGTTTTTGACTTTAGCCTGAGAACAATGCTGATAACACACCAATGTTTTAGTTGTTGCTAAGTAATGCTTACTCCGATCAAGGACTTTTCAGTATCATGCTCTGCCAGGGAGGAGGGGCACAAGAAGCTGGGAGGAAGCAGAGACAGAACACCTGACCCAAACTGGCCAAAGGGCTATTCCATACCACAGCACGTCATGCCCAGTATATAAACTGGGGGGAATTACCCGGAAGGCCCAGATCGCTGCTGGGGTCGGGCTGGGTATCGGTCGGCGGGTGGTGAGCAATTGTATTGTGCATCAGTTGTGTTTATTGTTTTCTTTTCCTTTTCCCCTTTTTATTTTATATTCTCTCCCCTTGTTATCTTATTACTGGTGGTAGCAGTAGTGGTTTGTATTATACCTTAGTTACTGGACTGTTCTTATCTCAACCCTTGCGATTTACATTCCTCCGATTTTCCTCCCCATCCCTCCAGGAGCAGGGGGGAGGAAGAAGAGGGAGAGTGAGCGAGCAGCTGCGTGGTTCTGAGTTACCAGCTGGGTTTAAACCATGACATTGGCCTAAATGGAAAATCTGTAGGCTAGAACTGAGATGAAAATGTTTGACTTTGTCTTGCATGGAGTTAGCTGGATTTTCCATTAGAGTAAGCAAGCATACTTGACTGGTCCAGGTAAGAGGCAAGGTGGAGAGCAGGAAAGAAGTTAAGAAAGTAAAACAAAAAATTTCTTGAAGTTTTATCTGGAATTAAAGTCATAGTGCAATGAGATACATTGACTTCATTATTATTACTGCAGTTCTTAATGATCCTGTCTTTTGAACAGGTGTAAATACGAAACAAATTTACTGACCTCCCAGCTCTATTGGTGGTATATGAGGAGGCTGAGAAGTACATCCATCTTCTTAGCTTCTAGCACTCCTGCAGCTTCCCATTGCCCTTTTGTAAACCTAATTTTTGTCTCAGCTGTGCTCATGATCATTTCTTTCTTTAAAGTTTATACTGTTAGATACGCTGTATGTCTCTTTATACACTAGAAATGCTTTTTCCTTTTCTTCCCACCTAAGAACCACAACAAAATGCAGGATGACTTCAGCAATCTTCCTAGCAGACTTCTGTTGACTGAGTTTAGATCACTGGTTGTCAGCCATCCACGACAGAACAATCAGCTTACCGGAAATACCAGCTATGGGGGAAAGAAAAATTTCAAACTGTTCAAAAAGGTTGGTGTGTATTTGAAATGGCCACAAGATGGCACTATTTAAAAGTGCTAGAAAGGTTTGCCTTAAGATTGTAGAAATATGTTAGGAAAGCTTGGAGTTTTCCTAAATTGACAGTAACTGCAGAAAGAAAGAATTTAAATACCGTATTATACTATTAACAAATATTTTGCTAATTGACTGAAGAAGTTCCAGGCTGACAGAGGCTTACCTCATGCTAGATTATTTAGAGACTTGTACTCTCTATTCCAAGCTGTTACTTGAATAAGTTAAGTGATGGCTACCATCTCCCAAAAGCTAGCAAGTTGACTTCTCCAAACGTCATATGTTAAAATACATGTTTATACATATGCTGTGTACAAAGCATAGCATATGCTTTAACATGTTTCAGAATCTTGCATTTTATCTAGTAAATCTTGGATTTTAAATAGATCTTACAAAGGTAAGATCTATTGTTTGCTTGGGTCTTGAGGATAATTTCAATGTAAAAATACCACTTCAGCTCATATTAAAAAAAAATATAGAAAAAAAGGCATAGGATTACTAGAAATGCATTTCAGTAAAATATTGTGTAGAGAGTGAGAGTCACATAATATAGCTTCCAGCTTTCTGGGAGTATGCTCTTATTTTTAGATAACATTTTAAATCACTAATAGTATTTTCTTTTCCACCATTCTGTAGGAGATGCCTATGCATTCTGATGGTAAAATACAATCTATCAGTAAAAATCAGTTTATAATGTTTTCAAACTCCACTTAAGGTACTATGGTTTATTTAGCATATGTAACTTGTCAGCTTTTTTTTTGGTTTTTTGGTAAAAGGAGGGAGTTAATGGCTCTCTGTAAATGTTTGGGGTTTGTTTTTTTTTTACTTCAGTCTCCTTTAAACATGGTCTCTGATGTTACTCAGAGGAAGACTGACTGACTTTCTTCTGTGATATCTGAATAGACTTTCTGAATTTGTTAAAACAGACCTTTTACTTGCAGTGTGGTTGCCTTGTGTTGTAATTTTAAGACTTTATTGTCTGACAGGTAGCGTATCCAGGGGCCGGGCAACTCCCACACATTATTGGAGGGTCAGATTTGATTGCTCACCATACTAAAAAGAATTCAGAGCTAGAAGACTGGTTAAGGCAAGAAATGGAGGTAAGGAGTTATTTTGTGAAGATGATCAAAAACTTGCCTTATGTAAGTGCTCATACCAACCTCTGGTCAATACTGAAATACTTCTGAACTTTATTTTTGAAATAAAACCTCAGATGTCCACAGATGCTCATAGGCCCATATGCATTAGAAAAGTTACTGGAAGTCAGAGGTCAGTGGTAAGGCTCATTTTTTTGCTGATTATTTGAGTTCACTTAACATGCAAAGGTCATATAATCAGAAATACTGATCTAAAGCAAAATCAATAACCTAAAAGAAAATTATCTTTT